CCAGCGACGAAAAGCCCCTGGTTGACCTTGTCACGAAGGTGTTGGCTACTTCACCTACTTTGAAACAAATGAGCTGCTTCCGAAGGCTACTTGCGGAAGCTTACGCCACTATTGCAAGTGATATCAAAGCAAGAGTTGAGGCGAGCGAAGACTCGTCAGTCAAACGACTTGCGCCCGCGGATAGGGCCGAAAGGCTCAAAGAACAACAATCCCGACTAAAGGGGATAGATCTGTCCGGCCACCGCGAGCCGGGGGACGGGCTCGTAGACAGAGCTGTTTCTATGTACGAATCTGATAGACTTCAGTACATAGAATGGGCTTCCTGCGTCAGTCGTCAACACGAGCTGCTCACTGGCCAGAAGAAAGATTCTTCAGTCTCCTTTGACAACACAGGAGCCCTCAAGATCAACACCAAGACGGTCTCCCAGCCATGCGATGTTTCGACTGACATGATGGTCAGGTATGCGTTGGTCCGCAGGGGCCTGGCTTTGGAGCAGGCTAGCATCCTGGCCTACAGCAACCACGACTCCCTCGTCGAGAAATACATGGCAGCCAGACTCCTGGATCCACCTCCTGGCTATGCAAGGATCGGCCTTAAACAGATCGAGACGGCTGACAGGCAATTCTTCGTCTTGATGGCCGAGAAGACCAGGGGCGGCGTAATGGTCAAAGGTGGGGCCACGCCGTGCGATGATCACTTTGCTTCGGTGCTCTCCTCATCCGAGTTCTTGCAATACTTGCATCACAGACCCCTGGCGGCCGGCGCCAGCAGCGAAGAGCCTCCCGCCAAAGTGCAGCGAACGGGGAAGGGAGAAAAGGGCAAAGGGGGAAAAGGACGCGGCAAGGCGTCCAGCCAGCGTGCTCCTTCGAGCACCAACATGCGTGTTCCTGCCGAGTTGCTGGCAATGGGATGTGTGGCTTGCACTCCGAAAGGCCACAGGCTTTGCTTTGACTACAGTCTCGGCAAGTGTCAGCTTCCCACTCAGAATCAGCGCTGCGCCAAAGGCCTCCACTTGTGTGCCATCAAGTCATGCCATAAGGTTCACCCTGCTTGCGAGTGCCCGCAGAGAAAGAGAGAGTGACTTGAGGCTTCGTCCGGCGGACCTCTGGTGCGCGCAGGGGAGGCGCAGTCTGCTGGCATCTCTCCCTCGAGCATGGTGGACCCGCCAGACAATCCTGTGACAGAGCCTCCATCCAAGGTCGCCAAGACTTCGGATCCGCATGCCCTGGCAAATGCTTTGGCTTCGCAGTTTTTCAGTGAGGCATCCTTTAATGCTGACAATGCACTTAAAATTTTCGCTGCCTGCCCCGATGATAAGTCGTTTCGCTGGCAAGCTGACTCAAGTTCTCCCCGAGTAGTCACTCTCGGGGCCTACAATCACGGACGCGTGACTGGAATCCGTACAGTCCCCAGGTCCATGCCCGATGTTTGCAAATTCTTCTGCGCCTGCGTACGTCAGGTTGCACCATCATTCCAGCTCACCACTGTGGTCATAACCCAGGATATGAAAAGCCCCGTGCATCAAGACTGCTTCAACAGCAGCCTGCCTAACCTCCTTGTGCCGCTCACGACCTTCACTGGAGGCCATGTCTTCGTGGAACACCCCGAAGGGCAAGACAAGCACCTCCTAGATGGCCAGGAGTTTGTAGGGTTTCGGTTAGATTGTGACCAGGCGCCCTGGTCCTTCGATGCCAAACACTGCCGCCATTTCACCTTGGATTGGGAAGGCTCTAGAGTAATGCTTGTTGCATTCACGGTTGGGCACTTGGCAGGGCTTTCCGATGCAGATCAGCAAGAGCTCACAAGTTTGGGATTCAGTCTTCCCCGTGAAGACGTGCAGCATGGTCCAAAGTTCCTTCCTTTCCGCTACACCAACAATGACATCGTTGCAACCGATACCGCTCCTCGCATTCCTGTGGTGCCCTCAGCCCCGTACGGAGACCTCCCAGGGGAAGGGCCGCTCTTGATAGAGATCTGTGCCGGCAGTGCTTCCCTTAGTCATGCGGCGGTGCAGCGGGGCTTCTCAGTGATGCCCATTGACCATGCGCACAACCGGCATCGCCCAAAGTGCAAGATCGTCACTCTAAATCTTAGCAAGAAGCATGCGTGGGACATCCTTGAGTTTGTTATCAAGAACCGAAAGGTGGTCTTGGCTTTTGCTGCTCCCCCGTGCGGTACATGCAGTGCAGCTCGCAACATAAGGCCAGGTCCGCCGATTCTTCGAACCAAGCAGTTTCCCTGGGGAGTCCCGTGGGCCTCGCATACAGACTGGCTGAAGCTTCAAGCTGCCAATGCCATATACCAGTTCTTGGGAGATTTCATTCAACTTTGTGACATGCGCAGTGTCGCTTGGTGCTTGGAGAATCCCACCAACAGTGCCATTTGGACAATCCCGTGCTTCGCATACGCCTTGGCTCACGGGATCTTCGCACACTGCCAAGCATGTGCCTTCGGAAGTGGCCGAGACAAACGCACTTCCTTCTTGTGTAGCCACAGTGCTATCGCTCACATGAGTCGCGTGTGTCCAGGATGCAGTGTGCGCGAAACAGAATACCCTCCAGGCATGTGTCAAGCGCTTTGCGACGTTGCAGAAGCGATTGCAACCGAGCAACAGTTGCCGCTAGGCGCAGCGCAGCCCGTTCTTGCCAAAGCTCACCGCCAGGCACGCGGACGGCTTCATCCACAGCTTGTATCCGAATACGCTCACATCCTCAAGCGTACGCTGCCCAGGCTTCCTGCCCTGTCATCCAAGCAGTGCATCACCGATGCCGTCCTTGACGTGCCGTCAGGCTCCAAGCTGATACGTTCCGAGAAAAAGGGGGATGGGCTTTGGTTATGCATCTTCGGGGTTTACAGGTCCTTTGATCAATTCGTCCTCGAAGCACAGGGCCTGCTGCATCCCTTTGATACCCTGGCTCAACTCCCCGACTACCTCATCAAAGCCTTGTTCGAGCAGCTCACTTTGTCTCCTATGCAGCTTTCCAAGACCCGCCTGGAAAGATTGCAAAAATGGAGGGACAGGGCAAAGCAGCTCGCGCCGGAAGAAGAGAAGTTGAGGTCCAAAATGCCGGAACACGTGCGGAGGATCCTGAGCTGTAAAAGGACTCTTCTCTTGCAAGAGATGGCAGCCGAGATCGATTGGCCGGACCGCGATTTCTTCACCGAGCTTAGGGTTGGTTTTAGGTTAGTGGGATGCCTTAAGCCGTCTGGCATCTTTAGACCCGGGGTAACCCCTTCGGCCCTAAGCGAGGATGAGCTGATGGCGCAATCCCCTTCCCTTAAGGCCATGATCCTTGACAGCATATCCCGTGCAAGCCCTGGCGAACATGACGCCGAGCTGTTCGACCTTACCCTCAAGGAAGCATCCAGCAAAGGCTGGCTCCAGGGCCCGTATGCTCCTCACCAGTTGGACTCCATGATGCACACCTGGCTTCCTGTCAGGAGATTCTGTGTGATTCAGAAAGGAAAGCTGCGCGCAGTAGACGACTTTAAGGAAAACCTCCTTAACAACACGTGCTGCGTTGCGGAAAAGATTGTGTTGCAGGCCATTGACCATATCATCTGGTCCTTGAACGTCCTGTGTCATTTCTATCGTTCGAGAGGTGCCTGCGACTTCTCCCTCTCATCGGGACAACGGCTAGTTGGTCTAGTGCACCCCGACTGGGAGAGAGTAGGCGCAGAACTGAAGGTTTCGTCGATTGATCTTAAATCCGCTTACAAGCAGCTTCCCCTTTCCCGTGTGAGTACGACAAAACGGTGGTATGCCTAAAAGGATCCTGGATCGCAGAAAGTGGCATGCTTTATC